GCGAGAAGTCGCCAGCCCCGCCGCCCGTGCCCACCAACAATACCCAACAATACTGAGCCACGGATGCCGCCCGGCCTGCCTGCTGCCTGCTGCCCCCTATCCTATCTCTTCCTCTATGCCATGCCGCTAGTCCGTTGAATTGCAAGAAAGCAATTGCTAAAAGTGACAAACAGCCATAAACAAATAACAGCAAAATATGAGAGAAAATTAGGGCACAGACATATCCTTAAATTTTTTTTTTACGCACCACTCTATTGCACACACCACTATTTGTATGTAGTATGTGTGGCCACAGCAGTCCTAGCCGTGGTGGGTGGAACCCTCGGTCACCCCCGCCGCCCGCTACCCTCAGCGCCTGCCAACCAGCGCGTAGGCAACTTACTGGTGCATGCACTGTTAAAAAACATTTCACAAAGAGTTGTGGCAACTAACTATTTTCACAACGAATCCCTCGTAAAGTTCTGACTTTTACAGTATGTGTAAAAGCCGGGCACATCCGGTGCGCTGCTGCGTTTTGCCCGGTCCGCTCATCGTCGTTATCGTCCGGACGTCATTCCTACGCCGTTGCACCGACCAGCTCCTTATCTGCCCCGCTATCTCAGACGGTCCTGCCGCGGTCCTTCGCGCGGCGCGGCCTCAGGACATCAGAAGTCTGATCGCCCGCCTGACCCGGCCCACCACCATGGACTTGGATTGCGAGGTCTGCTTGGAGGAGTTGAACCAGACGGGCCGCGTCCCCAAGGTGGTGCCGTGTGGGCACACGGTGTGCCTGCAGTGCCTGCAGTGCCTGCCCAGACCGACGCGATGCCCCTCGTGTCGCGCCGTGAGTACCCAGCTGCATCCTGAAGAGAGCGTGTTCTTGAAGCAATCGCATTTTACTCAGAATGTAGTGCAATGTACTTGATTGGCACAAGTCCGTGTTGTTCTTGATGATGTAGGCTTGAATCAACCCCGATTTGTTCTCAAATCATCCCCTTTGTTCTTGACACATAAAACCCACGAAGTCGTTTAAAGCAAAAATTGAGCTTGGATTGAGCCGAGGATTGAGCACTAATATGAGTACTGGATCCAGTCAAGTTCAATGCGCTTGATCCAAGAAGACGCTTTTCTGAGTGTGCCTAGACTTCTAAAAAACTCACTTCTCACTGTAAGTACTCGAGTCTGCATCTTGCTCCCAGGACAGCGAGATTGTCCCCAAAAATTTTTATTATTAATATTATTTTCCTCAATATATTTTCATCATAACTTTCGGTCCACACCCTATGAGAGTAAGGCTCGTCAACTGCGATAGACCATTCCGCTAAGCCGAAAAAGAAGAAGAGGAGGAAGAAGCAAAGACATTTTTTGATACACTATGGGCCTTCTAACACAGCATTTTACAACTCTTACATGTTCAAAATGATTTTTTAGAGCAAATGTGATATTTTTAAGACAACAAATCACTCACAAATCGGCCCTATCAGCCCTAAAACTATAATTTTGCTTCTTCCTTCTCTTCTTCTTTTTCGGCTCAGCGGAATGGTCTATTGGGTGAGGCTGGAGAAATCTCTCTCCCTTCCTTGAGTAGGTTTCGTGTGACGAAACATTATCTCACTCATTTCGAGCACGAAACCTGCTCACTCAAGGGTTTGCATTGTTCGTGTAAAATGGACCTTATTTCCTCGTCCAGGCCTTCACTGTCGCCCCCGAGTCCCTCCCCAACAACTTTTCACTGCTGCGTGTGATGGATCGCCGGGGCGACTCTAGGTGAGCGTTAGGTAACACGGCGAGCGAGGTACGTGTACGCATGCCTTCTGGGTATTAAATCGTATTACGCGTAATGTAGTACTGAAAAATTACAATACGAAAAAATAGATTCGCTCTGTCAGCGAATGCATTCGCTGGTATTTGGACAGATATGACCTTATAAGTTTCTGGAATTCCTATATGAGCTTGCGGTCCTCACCGAATGAGAGTGAGGTTCCCCACTGCAATTGGGCGAGGTCAGGGAAATCTTACTCCTCCAGAGTGAGAATTCGGTGCATATAACTCAAATACACGCAAAAAAGCCTGTTTGCTAAAATAGCTAACTTCAGGTCCTTGCGTTTTGCTGTTGCAGCAAACACATTTTTGTTTTCGCTGTTTTAGCAAAAGGTTTTGCTGTTTCAGCAAACATTTGCTAAAACAGCAAAATCTTTTGCTATCGCAGCTAAATGTTTTGCTGTGACCATAGCTGAGAAAATAGTTGGTGAACCTTATGGTCATCGCTCTGATTGAGCGAGGCAAAATAATTGTCTCACTCATTTCGAGCACGACACCTCACTCAAAGGTTTTCAGTGCTGACTTTGGGAGCCAATGTTCCTACCATCAGCGTATTATCTACCAGAGTCAATAATCGACTACTACTGTAAATAATCGGTTAGAATAGCACAAACAGCGATTCCAGAAAGTTATTAGGTTCTGTCCCAATACCAGCGAATCTATTAGCTGGCAGAGCGAATAATATTTTTTCCACGTTAAACTACGCCATAGAATGGCTGAAATGTGCGTGTAATACCGGCCGAAATACTGGCGTAATACCCGGTATATTGCAGGTGTTAAACCGATTACTCTGTACAAGTTTTCTGATAGTGAATACCTCTCCGATCGCGCGGATTATCGCACCCGCACTCCCATAGCAACATAACCGAGGCCAAAGCGTACTATCGGCGACACGTGTTCAATGTTCAGCAGCAGCTGGGCGGCCCGCCACTGGTGCCTGGACTGCCGCGCGGCTGCCAAGCGCCGCTGCTGGGAGGAGCACGAGATGGTGGGCACCAGGACCGCGCTGAGGCGCCTGTTGGAGGGCACGCTGCCGCTGGCCTCGCGCCAGCTGGAGGGCCTGCCGGGCGTCCTCCAGGAGGAGCAGACGCTGCTGGCGCTCACCCTGATGGCCGGGGACGAGTGGGAGGTCACCCTGCGGGGAACAGGCCGAGTCGTGTCTGCGACTCTCCACAACTCCGAGGATCCTCTGACCAAGACGCTGTGGCTCCTCTTGGCGGCGAGGGCAGCCATCGCCGAGGTGAGCGCCCGACGACCCGGCGCGCGCGAACCAATGATGTTGTGTCTGAGCAAGTAGTCGTGAGCCACTTCGTTTAGCAGGACCAGCAGGCACCAGCAGCACGACCAGGGCCGGCGAGCTCACCAAGTCCACCCAGACACCATGGGCCTGTACCAAAGGAGCCGTCACCCTCGACCACGGCTAGGCGGGTCGGCACACAACCACCGAGAGCGACACGTCCAGTTGATCCCCCCGTGATGCATGACATGTTACCTGCTCCTCCACATCATCACATCTTTGATGGTTAGCCACCATGCGAGAAGAGAGACAACGTTGTCATACGTAGCAGGTTAAATTTTACCCTAATAGTCCCTTAGGTTTCTTGCAGTACGAACACGCCACCCCACCTACGGGCACCACCACCTCCCGGCGGGAGTTGAATGTGGCATCACTCTGCTGTACCGAACGAAACAGCCGGCAGCAGGAGAAGGCGGCAGCGCTTCTAGAAGTGCGGGGGGTGAGTCCTGGGCTGGGCACTCTGCTGGCGAGCCGCGCGTCCGTGTCGTCAGCTTATGGTTCGTCTGCCGCAGGTGCGGCGGCTGGTCGGCGTGGTCGGCAGCAGCTGCTGGGACCCCGACTGGAGCCTCCAGCTCCTGGAGAGCGCGGCGCCGACGGTGGAGGAGCTCCACGTGAGCCACCCCAGCGAGGCGCACCTGGCCGCGGTGCTCGCCATGCCGCGGCTGCGGCGGCTGCAGGTGTGGTGCGCGCCGGACGCGTTCGGTTCGCGGCCGCCCGCGCTGCCCGCGGCCGCGCCTGGGCCCGGGCTGCGCTGGCTGACCGCCGTGGGCCTGCCCCTCGCCACGCTGCACGCCCTGCTGAAGTCCCACGGCCGCGCGCTGGAGGTGCTGCAGCTGCTCGTGGGCACGCGGGGCCCGGGGCAGTGGCCGATGGCCTGCGGGCCCAGCGGCGTCCACCTGGCCGACGTGCTGGTGCACGCCGACCTGCGCGCGCTGTGGCGGCTCGTGCTGCGGCGCAAGGACTGCTGCCACGAGCGCGCCGCCTGCGCCGAGCAGCTCGGCCTGGCGCGCTTCGTGCTGCCCAGGGCCGACGTGCTGTGCGAGACGTGCGACCACGAGGAGCTCGAGAGGTTCTAGTCCACCCGGGTCCCACGGGGAATGTGAATATGTACACCCCCAGAAAATCGTTTCCTTGACACTATTGAATCTTGGGGAATCAGCCTTGAATGAACGAAATTGACCTTAAATAAACATAACGAAACTTGTTCTTTTGATCAAGGGGAAATTTTCCTTAATTGTGGGAAAAATCTTCAACTAAATAAAGTTTTTGACGCTGGATTGAGCAAAATTCTTTGGAGCAACAAAATGATTTTTCAAGGAAACGATTATATAAGTGCAGAAGGGGCGCGGAGACTTCGTCACCACATGGGGACGCCCCTCCCGCCCCTCCCGGGTCAAACGCAGCCGCGCGGGAACTGCATTATGCAACGGGGATTAAATTCTCGGCTGGGTTATGACCTGACGCGACGCCTCACATCTCAGGCAGGCCTTCCCCTACACAATTCACATGGAACACTACTTTTTAGCAGATGATACCTTACAAACATTTTGACTAAACATAAAGAATATGTAAGTAATTTTAAGGTGTCAGCTAGCTTTTACTCTCGATGAGTACAGAGAACCATAAGCGCAGACCACAAAACAATTTATTTGGAACTGGAGGGCCGAGTGAGTGAGTGAGTGAGTGAGTGAGTGAGTGTGAGAGTGAGTGAGTGAGTGAGTGAGTGAGTGAGTGAGTGAGTAAGTGAGTGAGTGAGTGAGTGAGTGAGCTAGTTCAAGTAGAGTTGGAACACGCGGAGTTGCGGGGTTCGATTCCCGAGCACGGGTGGGGCAGATCGCCCTTTTCCTCGCTTGTTTCGTTTTCAAAATCAATGTGTCTA